GAAAAATAATATAATCATCTCAGTAGACGTGGAAGAAATACTTGATATAATTCAAAACCTGTTTATGAAAAACAATCTTAGCAAACTAGAAATGGAAGGGGACTTTGTTAGTATGACAAAGAGTATCTACAAAATATCGACAACAAGTATTTTATTTAATGGTGAAATATTCAAAGCTTTCCCTCCAAGATTGGGAATGAGGCAAGAGCGTCTGCTGTCTCTACTTCTATTCAACACTGTACTAAAGGTTATAGCCTGTGTAATGAGGCAAGAAAAAGGAATAAAATGTATAAAGTTTGGAAGGGAAGGAAACAAAAGATAACTTCTTAATCTGGGTGCTGGTTACAAGAGTGTGTTCACTTTGTGAAATTTCATCTAGCTACACACCTCTTTGAATTGTGCACTTTTCAATAAAAAGTTTATTATAAATACAACAACAAAATGATGTAATAGATCTCTATTCACTGACATAGAAATTTGCCTATGATATAGTACCAGACGTGGAAAAACAGGCACAAAATTTTGTTTTGATTCTATTAAAATCTATGTCTCACAGATGAAAAAATGTTTGTATATATGAAGACTATCTCTGGAAGGATAGTCACAAAACTTATAACACTGGTGTCTGGGGAGTCAAACAGAAACTGAGGGCAACGAGTATTTCACTGTGTACCTTTTGTTTTGTTTAGCTATGTATATATTACCTAAAAATAAAATTGTATGTGCATGGTTTCCATGATGACTAGTTTGAAGGACAACACTCATTTGGATGTACAAGTTCTTGTATATTTTTAAAAGAAAACAACTATTCCATTACTTTATAATATTTTACTTATCAAAAGAACATGAATGCCCCAATTAAAAANAATATTTCACAATTTATTTAATGATCTACCATTGAGGGAGAGCCATACAATTTTTAGAATAAGTTTGAGTCCTTAAAAAAACCCAGCTGAAATACTGATTGGTTGCATTTAATATATTGACTCAATCGAGGAGAACCAACTTGTTTTTTACATCCAAAAATACTGTGCTTTTTAGATAATGATTGATAGGGAAGAAGAAAAAAATGAAAACAGTTGGTATACTATAGATGGGACTGTGGGAGAAATTCCTTTTAAACAGAATTTCACGGAAAGTTATTTAGGCAATAAATAAAGATCAGAAAGGAAACTTGACCACTGAGTGCAGACAGGCCCACAGCTGTCTGCAGTTGCAGAGACTGTGGTGGGGCCTGGAATGCATCCAGCCCCCAGTGCAGTCCCTTCAGCTGCAAAGTGTCTAATTACCTGATTGGTGCACCAGTAGTACAAAGAGATGATGGAGATACCAAAGACGATTCCAGGCCATGGGAGGTCTCCAGTGATGGGATCTCGGAAGATATGGAAAGAATCCAGGCGAGGGAGGTAGCACTCTGGCTTGGCAGTCCAGTTTCCTTCATGGATTATGCTTGGCTTAGTGTTTAAGTAATTACTCAGTAGCTCCTGGTATCCTCCCACTTCCTTAAAGGCTTAAAAACACCATAAAATTTATGAGTATCATAAAGTGTACAATAACACATGTCTAAAGAACCAAGATTACAAAGTAAGACACAATTTGATTAACTGAATCTAATACAAAACGTGCAAGGGACTGACAATAGTCAAGACCGTATATACCTAAGAACACACACCAACTATTTGAGAGAGAGAGAAGAGTGTAGTGGACATTGGTGGCTGTGTGCCCAGCAACCCCTGCTCCTGCTTCTGGCAGCAGAATCCCTCTTTCCAGTTGTATTCCATCCTATATGGCTTAGGTGGGCCTTGTCAAACTGTCTACCATTCCAGTCAGGCATGTGACCCAGGCCTGGCCAATGTTCCCTGTCCCCTGGGCAATGACTGATAGAATGGACTTGAGACCCAAGCTCAGCTAATCAGAATTTGTCCCATGGTTAATTTTTCTGCTTAAGGAACCAAAAAAGCCTGCTTCCTTCTTTTGGGGTTCTCTGCTAGTATGGCATTTTGAAGCGTTTTTGTCTGCCTAGTCCATGCAGAACCCTGGATCTAGCTGTGCCTGAAGGTAACATGCCCCTGGAATTTTTAGTTATGTGAACCAAGAAAGTACTCATTTGCTTATACTAGTTTTGAACTAAAGTACTATCACAAGTTATTGAAAGAATCTTGAGAAAAACAAATTAATATTTGTTTTCCTGTAGTGCCTGGAAAACATTTATGAAACTTCATATTTGAAATTTTGTTCAGAGCCTGTGACATTTCTCCCTCAGTATCCTAAGTGGTGTAAAATCTTAACACTAAAGAAAAA